GGGAAGGAGAACCTCCCTCAACCTGCTGGTCACACTCCTCCTAATGCATCCCAGGATCCCATTAGCTTTCTTGGCTGCCCGGGCACACTGCTGGCTCATGGTCCACCTGTTGTCCACCAGCACTCCCAGGTCCCTCTCCGCAGAGCTGCTCTCCAGCAAGTCCGCCCCAAGCCTGTACTGGTGCATGGGGTTGTTCCTCCCCAGATGCAGGATCCTGCACTTGCCCTTGTTGAACCTCATCAGGTTCCTCTCTGCCCAACTTTCCAGCCTGTCCAGGTCTCGCTGAATGGCATCACAGCCTTCCAGTATATCCACCACTCCTCCAAGTTTTGTGTCATCAGCAAACTTGCTGAGGGTACATTCTAACTCTTCATATACATATACAATCTAAGAGTGTATATTACATACGAATGTGTATTATTTGAGTTATCTTAATATAAATATCTACAATGTAAAAGATTCATAGGGTTGATATTACATTATGTTACTAGCTATGTTCAGATATGTTAGTGCTCCTTTTGTGGGGGCTGTCAGGTTTTTCTAGGTCTCTCTGGCTAGGCACAAAGAGGCCTTATGTGAAGGACACACACAATTTAACCCGCATATGGCAGTTATCGACTGGCTAGCACACACCGAAGATAGCCGGGATTTAATGAGCTGTGAGGCTCTCGATCCCTTGTAAGCTCCGTGTGGGGCCTTGGCTGGCCCCGCAGGCATCAGCCAGGCAGGAGGTGTCAGGAACAGATCCCACAGCTGCTGGTTTCCCTGCTTCCACCAGCTTTGTCTGCACTGGTGACTCAACCCAACAACACGAGGATTCTTCAGTAGCCCTCAGCTAGTCTGATGGCCCTGCCTGGTTTTTTTTCCTTCAGGACTGTATCTTTCGTGCTTTCTCAGTGGTCTGAGCCAGGGTTACACAGCTGTGTGGTGTCAGAGCTGGGACTTGGACCCTTGTGCTCAGGCAGCTACACCCCTGGGTGGGGAGCTGCTTACAGCAGGAGCTCAGAGATGACAAGCTACAGGTATCACTTAATGACCCCTTGCACGGGCAGCTTTATCACATGATTTGCTTCAGCTGGCACTTTAATAGCATTTTTAAAGACTTGGAAGATCAAGAGATTACCACACACACATGCCCCGCAGTGTTACTGAAATCAAGGGACCATTGCTGACTTACACAAGCTGAATATCAGAACCTACACTTTGAAAGCATGAATTTTAGTTTTACATGTTATTTCAAAGACAGGCCCACCTACAGCTACAGCTGAAATGATGTGCTGTGTAACCAGGAGTTTGTCTGCACTGAACATTAAAGGAGTGTAGCAATATCTCATCAATAAATGTGCTGTGACAGAGTGATGCTAAGCCTGTGAGAGAAAAAACATATTATTTGAAGTATGCCTTTTTATTATACGTGGGGAGTAGCCATAAGAGACAACTGCAAAAAAGTGTGCTGTTTCTTGGGAGATCTGATCTGGATCTTAACTTCCCAAAGCAATAGGGAGTGGAAGAACCTCTGCACCCAGCTGAAGGGCTGGCAGCTGAAGGGAGCTGCCCTCTCTTAAAGAGCGGACAGCTTGCAGACTGGAGACAAGCCCAGCACACATTAAGCACTGGAGGAAAGCAGGGGATTTGTAAAAAGTTGAGAGGATTGTCTCCAAGGGGTGGAGTAACACCCAGTGAATGAAGCGATGCACTAATGCTGCACTTAAAAGTTTTGTTGTTGTTGTTTCATATAGAATTACACAATCATCCGGATTACTACAGTGCAGCATGAACTTGATCAACTGAGGAGGAAGCTGGATGATACAAAAATGAAACTCATTATAGAAATTAAGGTACTCTGCCTTTTAATTAAAACAGTCTAAATGTTACTATGTATAAAAAAAACCTTAGATCTTCCCAAACCTTAGCTGATGTAAATATTTGCCAAACAATTCTTGTTTTATGCTGTTAGTTTTATGGTGTTATTTGTCGTAACTTTATAATTTGAGCCAAATTACTCCAGAACACCAGGTTATTAGATGATTTTGAATGTATGGCATTCAAGCAGGTTTTCAAGGTACTATGCAAGCTGAGCTTCACAATCTCTTTCATAAAATTCCCATTTCACTGTAAAGGTAATTGAGGGAACATACTTGGTGAGGCACTGATCAGTCGTAGACCATGGGTAAGAAAAAGTTTTTAAAATGGTATAAAGAAAAAAAAAAAAGAGAATGGCTCTTCAAGCAGATGGCAGTCCTCTTCATCTGCTTTATTCCATGCCAATGCTGCCTATGGCTCCTTTTGGAAGGAAGATGATGGTACAGGCCTTCACATTGGATAGCTTTTCAGCATTGAATGCTTGAAATTGGAGTCCTCTACATCACAGAGATTGCCCATGCCCCTGTTTACTGGGTAATCCAGGGTGGAGGTACTCCTTAGGTCTCCTTCATTGTGTAACAAGGAACAGAAAGAACAATGCATTTCACTGTTGTCGCTGAAAACACCAAGGCAAAGTACAGAAGAAAGCACTGCTAGAACTAGGCCATCTAATTAGATGTGTAAAATTTTAAAGACGAAAGATGTATCCTGTATTCAGCCATCCTGTATAAAATTCAGTCTTAGTTATATAAACCCATATGCTTGTCAACTCCCCAAACTTCCTGAAATTGGAATTCCTTAAATTACTGGTTCTTCCGCAGATGCGAAAGCAGGCAGCATCTGATTTACGCGCACTGAGAGCAGAACTGACACAGAAGAAGATTCAATCAGCTTTAATTCTCCAGTCCAGAAAATCAGGAATTTAAGAGGATGACATGACTTTAACATCTGTAAAGTCTTCAGAAACTCTCTAATGCATATAGAAGCTCAGAATTTTGGAGCATTTGTTTGTATATTCTTGAAGTTATCTTGTAAAAAGACATCAATTATATAAATGTTGTGGAATTTGTATACTAGGCTACTGAGGTACTGCAGTTCACTTTTAAAATCTCACTCTAAGATTAGTCAGCTACTTAACCATACAGTTTAACCCAGTAACCTGTCTAAAACAAAGCTAAATTATTCTAGGTAATTTTAAAAGTGCAAATTAGCGAATTGCGTAACATCATTCTTTCATTAACAAAATACCTACAAAGCAAATAAACCTATAATCTATAACCTCCTGTTCTTATTTTCAGGCACATTTTTGGAAAAATGATTAAAATACTTCTTCAGCAACAGTAATCCTCTATTTAGATATTTACTGAAGTATATTTTTGTCATTGTTAGTATCCCTATCTGTAAATTACCCATCTATTATTACCATCTTATTATGAAGTAGGAACATAATCTCAGATAATCTCACTTTATTTCATATCTAGCTGTTTTTATTCCCTCCCTTATTACGAAAACCACATGGACTTTAACCACCTTCTTCTATTGTTAGTGGAAGAGGCAAGCTTTGTCTTGGGCAAGCTGTAATGATGATCCTGGTCCTATTTACAGTATTGCATACTCTGTTTTTCTTTAAGTTCAGGCTCATTCATGTCCTTAGATAACAATTCTCTGAAGGAGTAATCAGAAACCTCCTCTTGATAGTATTTTTTTCTAGCTCTCCTGTTTGCTTCTTTGCTCTACTAGATGTTATTATGTTAAGCAGAACAATAACATGCTAAGAATTAATGCCAGCTAAAAAGCTGACAAGGGTGTATTTATTACGGGAAGTGAAACACTCATGGGAAATTAGTAATATGTTAAGAAAATTGTGCAACTCTCAAAAGAACTTCCAAATGTCTTAAGTCAAACCACCCATTATCCAATTTATTTTCTTAAGGATAGGATTTAACAAAGATTTTAGTGCTAAAGTATTAAATTAATTATTAAAACTACAACCACTTTTGCTCAATCCAGTATTGAATCCCACATCCTGTATTTCAGAATTGTGTCTTAAATAAGACACAAGAGCAGGCAAGTAGCTACTGGAAAATCTGAACCCAAATTAAAAATTAAAAAATACCAGCTCACGATTCTTGACTGCTACAGGAAGTTTTATAATAAAGTCATCTGGCCTTCAGTTAGGATTTTGTAGCTCAGATATCTGCTCCAGAAGACCTCAGTTTCACAAATATCCATCTCACAGTATTTTAGCATATGAATATAAATAGTAATAGAAATTCTGAAGTATCTGTATATCAAATAAATTTATCAGTTTCTCCTAAAACCTACAGACCAGTAGAGCCCTCTGATTTTCCAACTTTTTTTTTTTTAATGTGAGAGCAGTAGGCTTCACCTTCTGCTTTCCAGCACCTGTAGTATCAAGCAGTCAGACACTCATATGAAGTCTTCTAGTCTTCTCCTCAGTAGCCATAATGGTAGTGCTGCTATTCTGTGGTGTTTTCCCAGTAACTATTTAGCAAGAGAACAAAACAAAATAACCACCCCACAACTGACTACATATATCTAATTAAATAAACTGTTTAATAAATGGAGTCACTTAAGCAGGGCACAGTTGTACTTTAATCTGGTTGTGAAACAGTTCGGAAAAGCAGCACAGCAGTGTGGGCGGGAAGCTGTGAAACAAGTAAAGCATAAACAGACAACACTGTTTACCAACCTTAGTGCAGACAGCATTTTATTTAACAAAAACAAAATTCTGTAAACATCATGATTACAGATATTTTTAAAAGTTACACTATTTCTCTAGGCAAATGATTTTATGAAAAATATGAACTAGAAAGAAAATATAACCTCATATTCTCAGAGGCAACACCACATTTTTATGTGTTTTATGTGTTGTTACAAATAACAGTTACTGAATGAATCAGTGTGTGGAAAATAAGTATGCAGTTCATTAAATAAGCTTCTGAGTTCTAGTTTTCAGGAAGTAAAGAAGTTTGAAATGGAAGAAAACATCATCCAAGAGCTCTCTGTATTAATGTTCTCTCTTCAAGATAAGTTCCAAGATTTTTGGGTTCTGCAACTAAGGAATTTACGTGATACATAAGCACAGTGAAACTGGAGTTTATTGGATACTCCTTTTTAACAACAAGTCTGATAAAAATCTTAATGGCAACTACTTCATGGTACGTAATTTCTTCAGTCTGTAAAGCATTTTAATCTCTAGAAGAGTGACCAAGTACAAGCACAAGTTTCACCAAGCTGCTTGTAAGCACCGATCTGTCTCTCCAGTGTTCTTTGTTTAATCTGATTCAAGTGACTCAGCTAAAATATAGGTTGAGGTGGGAAGTCAGAAAGCTGAGACTGCACCGTGCTGCGACCCCACAATGAATACCTGCTGTCCCAGGCAGCCTTAGCAGAGCATCAGTACGAGACTGCCCCTGTAAATCCACCATTTGGTTGTACTTCATAGGTTGGAAAAGACCTCTAACATCAAGTCCAACCGTCAAGAATTTACTTGTTACCAGATACACACTGGGTTCAAGCTTTAACCAACTTATGGTTGCTGTGAAAAATTAAAAAGATGAGCAGTCTTCTAAAAAACCCGATGCTAAAACAACATTGGAACTTTTTGAGGAATGAAAATATGGCTTTGCATACAAAATAACAAGATGAATTTGGCTAGTTCTCAAAATTTTTGTGATCATAGCATATTTACATAAAGTCAAAATCTATGCTAGTATAAGCCGTAATAAAAAATTTATTACCAATTTTCATCATTCTAAATCAAAGGTTCACGCAGTTCTTATGGTGTCAGGGCTTGCCACATTGCTTCAGTTTGTTGTTCTGCTACAGGTTCCCGGGAATAGTCAAGACTATTTCCATTCCACATGCCAATGCCCCTTAAACCTCGATTCTTCACATATGATGCTTTTAGAGAGATGCTGCGAGGATCATCGTACCATACTTGGTGGAAGTGACCAAGAGAATCCTAGAAAAACGTTTAAATACCAGTGTCAGTATCTACCTACCTATATAAATAGGATACACTGAAGTTCATTGAGTTTTGATTACATGTTGAATACAATGAAAAGTACAATTAAAAACTCAGATACACAAGCTATGTACATTCACATAATGATACTTTCCTGATTTACAAATTATTTTTCACACAGGACAATTAAAAATTTTAAGTAAAAACTTTGGCTATTATTTTACCTGTAGAATCTAAGTTACAAAACAGTGATACACTTTAACTGAAGTTAGAGCTAATTTGTATTTTAATAATTTTTTAAGATACAACTAAAATCTCAGAGACACTATCTAACCTAACAGGTGATTTTAGTTAGAGATTAAGTGCTTTTTTCAGCAATAAACAGTTTTAGAGGACGTTATAAAATTTTGTCAAAGTTACGTTGCTTTGACCTGGTCATTGCTTACACAACCTTTTAATCATCTACATGTGAAACTTAAAATTATGTCTGGAGAAACAGGATGAAATGCGTACACTGTGTTGTTCATGTAAGCACTGTCATTCATGGACTCTTTCACTATGTCTGTGTAGAAACCAAATGCAGAAGAGAACACGCATGCAAGCCATTGGGTTAGAAAAACTTGAGAGCATCTCAGAATCTGTTTTCCTTTAAATCAGTCATCATCTCATAAAAGTAACTATAACAGTGATGGATGGAGCTATAGGATTTCTTTGTGCCAGAATGTCCTTTTTGACATGATACAATCTCTCAAGAAAACTGCAAAGTAATAAAGATCTTTATCACTTCTGTAGTCTTCAGTCACTGCACCCCTCTTTCAGACTAGAAATTCAAGATACGGAAATCCGGCCATCCTTTACTACACGAAAAAAAAGAATTAGAAAACACAAACGGAAGAATCTAACCCTAAAAACTTTAAAATCACAGAGAACTATGGTTCATGAACGTTTACTCCACAACATGGTGTCTTATAATGAGATGCTTACCTTGTATTCATAAAATGGAGACTTCTGTACCTCATCCCACAGCGCCCCTGAAAGAGAACTGTTCACCTGCTTCATTATTGCCCCATAGGGGACTTGATGCCCTGCAGCATCACTGCAAGGAGCCCCACGGAAAGGTACTTTGGAAAGGGAACAAACATGATCCTGGAAAAAAAAGGCAGAAGGCCTGAGTTTGATGTTACATAGATTTACTGAACTCCAAGACAGCAGTACAGTCAAGACCAACGTCACAACAGCCACTGGGGTCTCAAAAATCCCAAATCTTCAAGTATCTGCGCCAGACATACTATTTGTAGACAGAAGTAAATTAAAACAGATAAATTTTGTTTACCCTGTAGTCATACAGGATCGGGTGGACATCATTCAACTTACACAGTTGTCCTATCTGTTCCACTTTTAATTCACTCTTACATTTTTTGTAAGTATAATGTAGTTTGAGACCCATGATTTCTCCATAAGCTGCTCCACTTTTAACAGCCACAGTTTTGCTATGGTTTGTGGCACCTAGTCTTTCAGCAGTGAGCTTAGCGACTGTGTTGAGAAGGCAGATACAAGTGGTGTAGTGCCTTTGGACACCACCTCTACAGTTAACATCTACAGCTCCTCAGTCAAACACGGCACTTGGGTATCATGGGGTTCAGGCTGCCTGGGGAGAGGTAGAACACCTTGTCTGGTACCACCCTGCTCATCAGTTATCAGCCACGCAAAAGTCTCTCTCGAGTCCCAGCTTTATGCTCTTATCCATCAAATCGCAGTATTTCCTAATCCAAAACCAGGATCACCAAAATCTAGCTGTTTCTTTACAAGGAAAAAATTAACAGTCCGATTGTAAATGAATAATCTTCATCCTACCTTAGACAGGTTTTGGCAGACGTAGTCGTAGCCATACCAGGGGACGCCCATCACAAGCTTCTTAGGATCGATGCCCAGAGT